TTATCTTTTCCAAAATGATTAATTATGGATATAATAAATTTAAAAATTATAAAAATAAATAAATAATTAGAGATAATTAAAAAATTATATCAATTAGAAATAGAAGAAGTAAAAAGTTTTGTCCAGAATTTAGTAAGAACTCTGAAAAGATAGCTATAACCTTTTTCCTTTATTACAAAGAAATAAAATTAAGTCGGGCTTTTTTCTAGTAAATTGTATAAAGCATTTATTATTTGATAAAAAATTTTCCTCCCACCTAACAGAATTTTTAACAATTTTGTTTCTTATTTAATAAATTAAAATTGAGGAGTAAATTAAGTAGAAAGTAACAAAAATAAATTTCTACTTTATGTCTCCAATGAAGCTATTCTATAAGATCACAAAATGAGATTTAATTTCATATTTTCAATATAAATTATTAATAAATTAAAACTTTTCTATTATAATTCAATTGTAAATACACTATTTATATTTTTTTTTAAATATTTAGGCTTAATGTACCGTGAAAATTTTATATTTACGCATTCAGTGAAATGTATTTTTAATCACATATATTAAAATAAAATTATTTTTTACCTTAAAATTATTTATGTAGAATTTATATTGATTTTCATTTATGTAGAACATTCAATCTATACATTGTTTAGATTTTTTAGAAAAGAAATAACATTATTGGTGGATGAAACTTGTATGATTTTTTTAACATAGAATATGTGAATGTTTGATATCAAAACATGGAGGGTGCTAAAAAACATAGAGGGTCTATCTTTAATCGAAGAGTCCGAATTTTAAAGGGTATGAAATGTTAATAAAAACTTTAAAACGCTGTATGAATTTTTGTTTTAATTAAAAGGGCAAAATCGCTAAAAGAGCAGTGATTTCGCTCGGTAGAAAAAGTAAAATCGCTGCAATAGCAACGATTTGTAAAAATTTTTTTTAAACAAATTTTTTTTAAAGAAATCGTTGCCTTGACAGCGATTTCCAATATAACTTTTTTTAATTAATTTTTTAATAAATCGTTGCATAAGCAAGCGATTTCTTTAAATTTTTTATTAATTATTTATTTGAAATTAAAAAAAAATAAGAGCAAATCGCTGCGTGTCTCCAGAACTTTTTTATTATTTTAAATAAAAAAATTATTTTAAAATTTTTAAAATAAAATTTTAAATTTTTTTGTAGAAATTTTAATTTTTTAAATTTCTTTACTACTTATTCCAAAATAAATTTTTTTAATGATTTTTTAAAATAAGTAGTAATCAAAATTTTTTTAAAAATTTGATTTAAAAAAATTCTTGGAGACAAATCGTTGCACTTGCAGCAATTTGCTCTTAATTTCTCTCTTTTTTTTTAATTCAAATAAAATTTTAAAAACAATTAAAAAAATCACTGCTTAGGCAGTGATTTATTAAAAAATCATTTTAAAAATTATTTTGGAAATCTTTAAAAAATAATGTTTTAAAAAAATCAAATTTTGCAAATCGCTGCTATTGCAACGATTTTGCTTTTTCCGGCTTTGCTCTTCTAGCGATTTTGCCCTTTTGGTTAAAATAAAATTCATATACCATTTTAAAATTTTTGTTAACATTTTATATCCTTTAGATTCCAGACTCTTTAATTTAATATAGTATAAAAAGGTTTAGTGTAACTAATAGGGTTGATATTATAAGTTATATGAATTTTATAATATATTGACCTCTATCATGTATAAAAATAATATATAATTTAAATTTATTTAAACATAATAATTCATAAAATTACTTAATTAGAGTATAAATTAATAACAAATATGAATAATAATTCACAAGTTATCAAGTTCGCATAACATAGAGGCGCAAAACTACAACATTAATGCTAAACACTCTGTTAATTATTTAAATATGTGGTTTAATTTTTTAAAATATACTCCTTTTGTTTTTAATTAGTTGTTCGTTTTCTTTTTAATTGTCCCTACTTATTTGTCCTTCTTGACAAATTAAGAATGAATATTTTTTTTTAACTTTTTATACTTTTAATTAATTACTACTTTGAAAAAAATAGAACTTTTTGAAAATCTTAAATTTTTAATTTATCAAATACATAATTAATAGGGTAAAAAGGTAAACTTACCATATTAATTTTTTTTTTTTAATAGGTGTGTCAATTTCGAAGTAGACAAGTAATGAGGAACAGAGGCAATAATTTTCAAATATGCAAAACTACAACACTAATGGGTAACTATCTTGGGTTGTCATTAAATAGGATCGACACTTATGAACCATATGATTTTTATTATTTCTATACTGTGTCGATCACTATTAATACTAAAGTACTTTGAGTTTTGATTGTCGTTATTAAAATATTTTTTAAAAATTTATACAAACATAATAATTTCTACAATCACCTAATTAAAGCTCATATTATTAACAAATATAAATAATAATTCACAAATCATCAAATTGGTATAACAAAGGGCACAAGACTACAATATTAGTGTTTGGCTCTCTTTGGGTTGTTGTTTTCTAGGATTTATACATATAAATTAAAATGTTTTGAATTTTGACTGTTATTATTTAACTTAAATTATATTAATTAAAATAATTTAAAATGTATTTTAAATCTATTAATATAATAATACTATAAAATTACTTAATTTTAAAAATTCTTAATCCGTTAAAAAAAATATTAATTTGAGAAAAGATAATAATATTGTGGTAATAACTATGTATAGTTAATATTTTAATATCATTTGGTGACTATTCTTGCCCTAGCTGGTGTCAAAGCTCCATTTTGCTTGAAAGTTTAGTCACAGGCCACTTTTAGCCCTTCCACTTAAGTTTTAGAGTCCTTTAATAGTCAAATTTTTGCTACTATTTAGTATATATATTCTTGTTGATTTCAAATTTATTGTGTGTTTAATAGCAACTTTGTTTCATTTTTATTGCACATCCAATGAAGTTCAACATATACTTAGTTGTACTTTTGTTCATGGAGTCAGATATAAATATATATGTTGGCCGTTAAGTTGGAATTTTAACGTAAGATGTTAATCCATTTTATCAATCACTAAGTCATACCTACGTTGCTTGTCGTCTTTCACTTCTTTTTCGCTATCATTTTCATGTAATATCAAAATATGTATTTTCATAGGCTCTGCCTCTATTTGGTTTGTGTATTCGTGTGTAATTTCCACACTAGTTATATTTCACATTATAGTACTTGTAATGATATTTATTGGAGAAGTAATAGCATGCACTGATTAATAATAATGAGATTTTTGTGTTTAAATAGTTTAATCCTACACTGTTAATGTAACTAATTTAGGGTCCGTTTAGCCATGCGATATGGTATCATGATATGGAATCATGCTGTGGTATTATAATATGGAATTAAGGAATGAAATTGGAGTTTTGTTTGGACATGCGATATGAAATTTTGGTGTTGTATATTTTCTCATAAATATAAAAATTCCATAAGTTTAATACTAATAAAATAGCTCCAATTGTTCATTCAATATTATCAAATAAACAAAAAATCGTAAAATCGCATAATAAATTATCATAAAATTATTTATTTTCCACTTAAGTAATTGTTTCATCAATATATTTGAGTAAAAATGAAATACCTTTCACGGGCTCTTCAAAATTTTATTACTCAACAATCGTGAAGTGTGAGTTAAAGTGATTATATGTTGGTGAGAATAATAAATTATAAAAAGTAATGATGTAATTATAATTTTTATTTATACGTGAAACAAATGGTTAATAGATATAAATATGGGATTGTTTGTGGATCAATTTTTATATTAAAATAACTCAAATCATGATATGGTATTCCCATATGATTCCATATCATGATTTTTGGAGGATATTGTATTACATCTGATGATACCATATCATGAGATGGATTCAACGTAAAATAACATATCCAAACACTGATTCTATTTTACAATGCTATATCGTGATATGGTATCACATAGACAAACGCCTACTTAGTCTCATATTCTATACTCTATGTAAAATAATATATGGATTCACATGTATCATTCAATATCGCCAACCACATGCTTCATTAATTTTATGTCTCCAACAAAAAAATGTTCTGTGAATACAAGTTTTGATGTATATATATTTTTCGTTTTAATTTATTTGTTATAGTTTGACTTGACAGAAAATTTAAGAAAAGAAAATAAAAGAAGAGATTTAAATTATGTTATCTTAAATTAAATTAGATTTATGTATCAAATTCCCTTTAAATTTGGTGGTCTTAAATATGTCGTATGTATAGTCGAAATTAAAAAGTTAAAAATGAAAGAGACATTCTTTTCAAAATTACAAATAAATTTAAAGAATTAGATACAAGTATTCCTAAAATATCACCGAAATTTAGAGACATACTTTAACTAAATTAAAATCTTATTACATTGAACCCATCTTTTAGAAATTTTGTTTACTTTTTTTTTGTCTTTGGTGGCCTTCAAACATATCTCACGCACTTCAACCGTGTGGATTCATAGAGTGTGTCACGGAAGTTAAAATGTGTATAATATTCAGGATAATAGGGTCTTAGTTTAATTAATATATGTGTCCAAAATTTTAGTCATAGTTTAGGAATAACTTGTGCACAATGGCGTAGTCACATGTAGTTGAGGGGTGTCGATCGACACCCCCATCGTCAAAAAATTATAATGTGTAGCTAGAAAAAAAATATTTTTTTTACTTATATAAATTACATATTGACACTCTTTGATTTTTACGCGATTTTCACTTCTTTGTATTTTGATACTCCTTACTCGAAGTTCCGATAGTGTTTGATTTTATTCCAAATAACCATGAACCAAATGACCCTAACTATAGTTTAAAATGAGAATTATGGCCACAAAATAATTGTATATTAGGTAATATGGAAGAGCATCGTATGTAATCAAATCTTTATACACTTGTGTGGTGAAAATTTGAAGAGGACTCATCCAGTACAACAATAAAGAGAAGGAGAAAAAGATATGCAAAGTCAATTTACTTCACGGGCAACAACAATGGCAGCGTTCCAGTTCAAAAGTTCCCACATGATCACGCAGGGACTCTCTAGAAAATTGAAAAGGGAATCACAATTTAGCCACCCAAAAAGGAAAAGACACCAAATTTCCATTTACTCTTCTCTTCTTCTTCTCTTCTTGTTGTTGGGGAAAAAAAAGGAGCTTTTTTTTTTTTAATTTAGAGTGGTTATAGTTCAAGATTCTTCAACCCCTTTTCTTGTTTTGAGTTTTTCAGATCCCTTTTGGGGTTAATTTCATTTGAGATGTCTCTTGATTCAAGTTCAGCTGATCATGGTGGGCACAGTAACATAAGAGGGGTTCCAACTCATGGGGGTCGTTATGTTCAGTATAATGTGCACGGCTCTCTGTTTGAAGTTTCAAGAAAATATGTTCCTCCTATCAGACCTATTGGTCGTGGAGCTAATGGAATGGTTTGGTAAGAAAAAACAAAAATTCCATCTTTTTTGTATGTATAGGGATTAATGGCTTAACTGGTAAAGTTGTTGGGGTTCGTGCTGTGTAAACAGTCTCTTGCAGAAATGCGGGCTGTGTGTACTTTTTGGACCCTGGGCATAGCGGGAACTTAGTGCACCGGCTGTCCTGTTTTTAGGTTTAAACCCTGTATCTCTTTTTACCCTCTTATTAGTTATACAGGTATGTGAGTTTTTGTGTGTATTACATAAATACTGCTCTCTGAAGAGGAGAAAAGCTTGTCCCTGCATGGAGATTAAGTTTGTTTACCTTGAGGTTATAGCTTCATCGTTTCAACTATTAATTGGTTTAAGCTCTTTGTGATTGTTGTCTATAGGTTTCCAAACTATTAATTACACCCTTTGTTTTGTTTTAGAATCTTAAAAAATGATATCAGAACTCTTTTAACTTTAAACTTCTCATTTTACGACATGGATATGTTTCTGTAGTAGTAGAGAAATGTCATGCCAAAGAATCTTACTTTCTTTCTCAAACTCTTTGCCTAATTGAAGACTATTATATAAAGTGAAGTTGAGGGAGTTTCATTTAGTTCAAACATGGAAGATTTCGAAGTATTCGATAATTGAAGTTGGATCCAGTGAATTTGTAACATTGTGTGGTTGATATGTGAAAAACTGAATCAGATCATGCTCAGCCATATCTCTGACTTATGAGAGAAAGAGAAAGAGCGAGATGCTTAATGATGTTCACTTCTTCAATTGTTCATTTCCTAATACAACACAGCTATAAGGTCTCTTATGATGAGTTCCCATTAGATTTTAGTCTTTTTGACTCTGAAGGTATAGGGGTATGGTTGCTTCTATGTTTCCGTTCGCATGACCATTTTCTGCTCAAACTTACTTTTTGCTTGTATATGCATGTCCCACCAATCTAATGAAAACTCTTGGAAGTTGTTCAGTATGTTCATGATATACATGATATATTATGTGACTTTTTTGAAACCCGTGTTATGCAAGTTCTAGAGTATTTAATTAAATTTTTCCCGTGTTGCAATAGGATCTTATATGTTGCACTTATCCTCTATGAAATTGTTTCTCCTCTATTTTATTACTATGTGACGGTAAACTGCATGTTAATCTATTTTTTTTAAATTTTTTGCTGCAGTGCTGCTGTGAACTCGGAGACACGTGAGGAAGTAGCTATTAAGAAGATTGGGAATGCATTTGATAATGTAATAGATGCCAAGAGGACATTAAGAGAGATAAAGCTTCTCAGTCACATGGATCATGAGAATGTGAGTATTGTACCTTTCCAAAAATCTGAATATTGCACCCGTGCCTCTTTGACCAATTTATCTTCAAATGTCTTTGCCTTGTTTATTCACTAAAAAGTTGACATCTATCACTACTTCCCTCTTGTCCTTTTATATGTGGTTTTTCCCTTGTTTTTTGCTGTAAGTAATATACACGGAAATTTGATTTTGTTTATCTCTGTATTGGGTGTTTTGAGGTGTATGCTATATCTCTAGAATAGGCTGAAGAAAAGGATGCAGGCTAGGAGGGGCAATGTGAAAAGAACTTAGGGCCTCTAAAGACACTATCTTGTTTTCAGTGGTTCTGATGTCAGTAAGCATTGGTATCGCCAGTTATATTCATACTTTCATGTATAATGTTGGGGGAAAAGAGAAAAGAAAGAAACAAGAACGGAATGAATATTACTGTCACCTCTCCCTCTCCCTCTCCATTTCCATCTCCTTCTCCATCTCCTGCCTTCAGTTGGAAAATAGAGGCGTAGAAACAAAAGGGAAGTTTGCATAAGTATATAATTTTAGTGTTTGAAGAGTACAAGTTTGAAGTGAATACTTCTTTCAAAATTGACTGTTTCATTGTCAAGTTCAATCCATTTGTAAGGTTAAGATGATCTATTGTTTTTTTATTCATAAGATTTACCACTTGAAAAATGGGAAGCATGTGCATTTATCATAATTTTTATTGTTGTTTATCTCTGAGTACTGTTCTTGTACTCCTGGAATATTTAGCATTTTAAGATCTTGTGAAAGGTGATGCAGAATCCCACTTACATGCAACTTTTTCCAAATATGCAGGTGATTGCAATTAAAGATGTTATACGGCCTCCTCAAAAGAAAAATTTTAATGATGTGTACATTGTTTATGAACTGATGGACACTGATCTTCATCAGATTATTCATTCCAACCAACAGCTGACTGATGAACACTGTCGAGTAAGCTACACTTCATGTTGTGTACTAATATTCCTTAATTTTTTTTAATCTAACCAGCTAGCTGGATTTATTATTTGGAGATGTCGTTCTGAATTGAATCATAGTCATAGCGGTAAACACTTTTCAGGTGTCCAAACAAACTATTTTATATTATGACTTCCCATCTTGCGCAGATTCTTAACATTTGTTTCTCTTCCAGGATGCATGTAAAGATTTAGAATAATGATTGATTGGTTCAGAATCACTAGAGATTTTTGGAAGAGATTCTTATGGCCTGTTTTGACCTTGCTACCTATCTTCGTTCTTCAGTACTGTTAGGAACAGTGTTTTGTTACCCTGAGTGATATATTCTGTATGAATTATCCTATCCCTCCAAGGTGCATTGCTCTTAAAAGAATTCCGGCTTACTATCGTCTCCTTTACTGGGTTATCTGGTGATCCACTGAATTGTATAAGGGCTTGAAAAGGGTTTGAAAGGTCATGGGCAGCTTCACCCATTGTTTTAAGGTTTTTGGTTCTATTCGTATTTAATTACCTGAAAACGATGCAAATTGTCCACATATTGTAAATCAGATATAAGAATTACGAATATATACAGACAAATTTTATTGTTGTTTTATATTCCCATAATAATGTGCATTTGTTTGGAACTTATCTTCATTTTTATACAACATTATATGTGGTTGCCTTTTTTCATTTTGTAGCATTTTCTGTACCAAATACTGCGAGGACTTAAGTACATTCACTCTGCCAATATCTTGCATCGTGATTTAAAACCCAGCAATTTGCTTGTCAATGCAAAATGTGACCTAAAGATTGGAGATTTTGGGCTAGCAAGGACGACAACTGAGACAGATTTCATGATGGAATATTGTGTGACACGCTGGTACCGTGCACCAGAGTTGCTACTAAATTGTTCAGAATATACATCGGCAATTGATATTTGGTCAGTGGGTTGCATACTCGGTGAAATATTGACAAGACAACCCCTTTTTCCTGGAAGAGATTACGTACACCAGTTGAGACTTATCACTGAGGTATACTAGTAGTTAGCATTTGTAGTTTTTGAAGTCATGCATCATCCTAACAGATACCTTAGCTTTAGCAGGAGTATGTCGAACAATGATGGAATCTTTGAATAAGAAGAGCTCCATGTTTGATTTCTCCTTCTGATCTTTGTTTGTTTTTTGAACTTTGTGCACCTTTTCTATCTACTTATTCAGGATTTTCTGTTAATTTGCATGCATTGAGAAGTTCCTTTTTGCTTGGAGCTGATCCAGTTCAACTGACATGCTCTATTTGGTTTTTTCAATAGCTAATAGGCTCACCAGATGATGCCAGCCTTGGGTTTCTCCGGAGTAATAATGCCCGGAGATACGTTAGACAACTTCCAAGGTACCCAAGGCAACAATTTGCTGCCAGATTCCCAAATTCATCTCCCCGAGCTGTAGATTTGCTTGAAAAGATGCTCATCTTTGATCCAAGCAGGCGTATTACAGGTAAAGAATTTACAGTGGAGTTTTGAGTATTAAGGCTCATTTCCACACAAAATCTTTCTAAATTTACTGAAATGCTAATGAAATTTGAAAAAGAAGACTACAACAAGATTTTCTGGTTAATAGCCCTTTTCTGGATTATTGCAGCTGATGAAGCTCTCTGTCACCCATACTTAGCACCTCTTCATGAAATCAACGAAGAACCTGTTTGTCCGAGGCCTTTCAGTTTGGATTTTGAGCAGCCATCTCTCACTGAAGATAATATCAAGGAGCTCATCTGGAGGGAAGCTGCAAAATTTAATCCTGATCCAACTCATTGAAAGAGACGTGGTTATATGATGTATACAATAAGCGTTTGGTGACATAACTTCTCTAAAATAGTGTATTAGATTTGTAATGTTCCCCAGTGAAGATGACTGAATAAATATGGTGGAGCTATTTGGTTCAAGAAATTGTTAGTGGCTTAAGTCAGATACTTATTCTCTTGTTGTGTTTGGTTTATTGGTGTTGTATAAAGAACCTAAAGAGTAGTCTACAATCAATTGGTTCTAAATACTGACTCCTCCTTGATGCCAGATCTCTCTGGCTTATAGAACTGAACATTATACCTGTTCAAGTTGTTTGACATAACATGGAAAATTGTTCATGTGGGAATGGACAGTTAACGAATGAGTTTTGAAGTTGTATGTCTATTGCAGTGTTTTACATGTTGATATGTATCTCTGCTTGGTCTATGTCCATAATTTGCCTTCTTATTCATGTAGTTGCTGTAGCACTATACACTTTTTTTCGGGATAGAAGTCTTCTAGTCGTGTTAGAGATTCATGTGCTAGTAGAGAATATATCATGTGATGAGTTTAAATAGAGTGACACTGTCATTTCCTTATTACCACTCGTCCTGTTGTTCCGTGACACCACTAACAGAGTTTGATTCGTATAACCGGCCCCAACTTGTTTGAAGTTGAGGTGTAGCAGTAGCTGCTGTTGTATGCACATGTTGTTGGATGTTACAGGGTTTACAGTGAAGATGAAAGCACTAAAATTTCAGATAGTTCATTACACTTATATTGCTGATACATTTTGGATAGCTTATTATCAGTAATTCAATCTATAGGAACATCTTTGCATCTCTATGTTATCAATGGCCAAATTCTCTGTTGGAAAACTACACATTTCAGTCTTTTCTGGACCTTGATCAGGCAACAACTGACAAGGTGGAGGCTGCACACCACTAGTAATTCCTTCAATATCAGTACAAGTCCATGGATACTTCTTAGCCTTCTTTGCCATACTTATAGTCACATTTGAAATGCAGATACCGGTGAATGGATCCCCAGAAATCCCCTCAAGACGAGCAGCCATTGACACGTTCTCAGCCACTACATCCCGGTAATTGATCCCTTTTATCTCTGGTAATGCATTAGGATCCCAGTGAGTGTCTGCATGTTGTCCATAGTTGCCTGTCATCCAAAATACCCATTTCATGGTGTGCAATGTCATCCCTTTGACATATACATCTCTAACAAAACCGCCTCGGCCAACACCAGTCTTGATCCTCACCCCTGATTCAGTGTTGATAGCCGTGATGTCCTCTGCTCTAACGTCTTGAATCCCACCTGACATTTCACTTCCTAATGCTATTGCAGCACTATAAGGAGAAATGCAGGTGAGGCGCCTGATGATCAGTTGACTTGTTGGCATCCCATAATTTATACCATATTCATCCCAACCACTTTTAACTGCAACACAATCATCTCCAGATACAATGTAGTTGTCTTCAATTTTCATGTTTGTGCAAGAATCTGTAAAGAACCAAGAAAAATAAAGTCGAAAAATCGGTCCATATACCTTTAGCTTTACTCATTCAAATACATATAGGAAAAAGGCAAACCTGGATTGATCCCATCAGTGTTTGGAGATTTTACTGGAGCTAAAATAGTGATGCCTTGGACAATGATATTGCTGAAATTTCACAATGAACAAGATTCTTGATAAACTTTTGATGTACTCTAATAGAAAAGGACATAATCCATAAACGAACACTCTTAACTTGGTCCCAATGGGCAAGAAAGCACCACATCTAAACACCTCCACTCGTCTCCAGTCTCCACTGTCATTTGAACACTCCAACTAACAAAATGAATTTATATGTCACGTCAGCATCAGGTGTCCATGAGACACAGCGGGGAACGAGTTGGAGTGTTTAGTTGTCACTTGAGACAAGTTGAGGTGTCTAGATGTGCACTGTCAAAGTTGAAGTGCTTACTCGCCAAACTGAAGCCAAGTTTGAGTTTCTTTTTATGTATTATGCCAATAGAAAACAAGTGAAATAATGTAAAATCACCTGCTATAAACAGGATGGATATTCCAAGATGGAGAGTTGACAAGGGTTATATGTGATATCTGAATGTTATCAGAATGCATAATTTCAATCAAGTAAGGCCTTGTGTATTTTAGCTTTTTGCTGTGAAATTTCTGCCACCAAATCTCACCCTGTCCATCAATGGTCCCATTCTCACCTAATCATTTATAAAATGTCTTAGAAGTTTGAGAAATTAATAGCTTAGGAATATAAAATGTTAGTATTATTATTTACCTGTGATGATAACATCAGTGAGGTTAGTTCCAAATAAAAGACTTATGTACCTTCCACCTGATGTATCCCTTCCATGACCATATGATGGTAATGGGTCTATAACAGCCCACTCATTTATATCCTGAATCAATCAATTTCAAATCAATCAGGAGAGGGAAGGCAATAAATCATATGTATCTGTTCTGTATAGAGTAGTAATATTAAAGTCTCCGTAACATATAAGTCACGAGTTCAAGGTCTGAAATCAACCAAGGATGCTTGCGTCAGTATATACTGCCATATCAGAACTGTTGGGATGCGAACCTTTGTGGGACCCGTGAACACGGGATATTTCGTTCACCAAGTTATCCTTTATAGAGTGAAATGTATTGGAAGAGGGAGGGAGCTTTGGAGCAACTAGTAAAGTTGTCTCCTTGTGACCTATTATAGGTCATGGGTTCAAGGTGTGGAATTAGCCAATAATGCTTGCATCGGGATTGATTGTCCACATCACACCCTTTTGGATGCAACCCTTCCTTGGATCCTGCCCGAACATGGGATGCTTTGTGCATCGGATTGCCTTTAGTAGAGTGAAAAATAGACTAGGAAATGTGAAGGGGAGTCTTGTTATGATTGCGTAACTGGTAAAGTTGTTATGTGGAAATAATTTCTTGCAAAAATGCAGAGTAAGGGGACGTACAATAGACTTTTGTGGTCCAACTCTTCCATAGACCCACCCCGCACATAACACGAGCTTAGTACACCAAACTTCCCTTTTTTAAATGGACTAAGAGAAGTGAAAAATAAGAGTGAGTACCTGAGAAGCAAGAAGAATAGCATCCTTATGAAGGAAAAGAGTGAAATGACTAGTAAGATTGAAGCTACCAGTGAGCCATTGACCAGCAGGGACAATAAGCTGAGCTCCACCATCTGATGCATACTGGCTCAACCGATTCACTGCTTCTTGAAATGCTTTTGTGTTGAGTGTTTTCCCATCACCAACTCCACCAAAATCTGTTATAGATGCACTGTGTGCTCTACAACTTATTGCTGAGTACTCTAAATCATAGTAAGAAGACTCATCAAGAATTCTTGATTTTCTTCCCTCAGCTCCACCTAGTAAACTTATAACCACCATCCCTAATACCACTACCAGCAACCAACTTGTCTTTTCCATCTGCACAAACATAACAAGAGGCAAAAACACATATTAAGAAAAAACCTTAACATACAACCCTAAGAAAATGTGAAATCTTTTAAGGCCATGTTTCTTGAGTCTTGACTCAAAATTGCTCTTTTCCCCCCCTTCTCTATGTGCATTTAGTGTGCAAAACCATTGGACCTATTCTACGAGGGGAACGGTAAAGTTGTCTCTATGAGGTCATAGGTTTGAGCCGTGAAATTAGTCATTGATGCTTGTGTCAGTGTAGACTATCTTCGACCCTTCCCAGGACTCCTACATGAGCACGGGATGCCCTTACGTAGGGGTCCACTAAAGAGATAAGTGTTTTCACCAAGAGTTTTTCCACTCTGTAACTCAAACTCGAAGCTTCTATTTAAGGATAAAGGGATCATATCCATCCCACTACGCTTTGTAGTGATCAAGAACACAAATTTTAGAAAATGTTTCACATATTTAAAGAAGCATTTGTTATTGAAAGAACATTTGTTTTTGTTATTGCTTTCTACACTACATTAAGGAAAGAGAAAGCTAGGAGTTAATAGTTTTCTTACTTGAGATGAGAGTGGAATTTTGTGCATTGCTTGGTGGAAATATATGGTATGGAATTAGTATTATATATAGACAAAATTTTGTAACTGAAATAATCAATTGCTGTGTTTGGATTGATGTAAAAGATTCTCTGAAATGGACTGTATTTTTTCTTCACATTTTTTCCACTTTCTGATTTTGTTTTATATGCTTTACATTCATACACACAACAATTTTTAACACCTCAAACTATAAATAAAGTTGTCTCATTTTAGATAATTTCGATTCAAATTTTAGATTTTTTTTCACGTTTTTTGTTATTCGTTCTTTAGATAGTTAAGTTAACAATATAAAATAAGTTATTTCACTTAATAAGACATATGAATCAAACATTTTATACTTGAAGTTGATGCGTATAATTAAAGGAGATGACATATTTTATGTGATTAACTATCTAATAAACGCAAAAATTTAAAATAAAACTTACTTCGAGTATTTAAATGTAATATTCTAACAAGTTTAAAAGGCCGATTAGGTATTAAGTCATTTTAAAATACATTGATAACTCAATTTAAAGTTAACATCAAGTAGAAGTTGATTACTCAATTATCAATAATATCATTGTCCAAACAACTTCCATGATTAAGTTAAAGTACATACGCTTCATATACCTGTTAAGTATACTTCATAAATTAATATTCTTAGCTTATCTTAGTGATGTCAATCCACGATGGTGCATATGCACAATTCATTTTTAATTTTTTGAAATAGGGGTCAGATCAGTGGTCGAGTCAAAAATTTTACTCGAGAATTCAATTTTTATAAAATAAACTATATCAAGCTTGTATTTTAAATCAAGAAGATTTAAATCTTATAATTATCATGCATTTTGGTGTTTTTTTATTTGTAATAGATATATGTATAATAAGCAATTCTTTTGAGCAATGAGCAATATCGTATGAACCTCTTACTTCAATGTAGCTTTGCACCTTTGTAATCTAGGTCTACTAAGGAAAGTAAATAGCAAGTAGACGTAGAGAAATGAATTTATCTGAACTCAATAATATTTGTTCGAACTATAAGTCAAATGACTTATAATAATAAAATTCCAAAATCAAAACCATATAGTTCAAATTCTAAATCTTCTTACTAAAAATACTCTTCATTCCAATATCGCCACAACCTTCGATGATGTAATCATAACATAGTTTTTTCCCCACCCGATGTATATTGGGACACCAATAATTTAAATTTATCAGTATAAAATATTTTCTACCAAAGATAACTTCATTTCCAAAACTCAAAATCTGAAATCTATAACTTAAAATATATAAATACTTAACCATCCTATCACAACATAGGATGGTATATATCTCCATCCTAATATAAGTATTTATTTT